TTAGACAACTTGAACACCAAACCACCATTACCGATGTGTAAATGTTAATAAGCATACAGAATTTCATATAAAAATTGGAAATAGAATTTTAGATGTAGGATTTTGTGTATCAGTTTTACCTAGGAACTGATGTTTGCACGCTGGGTGGGGAGCAGCATGGTGCATGAGCTGACAGGGACCAGGACTGTGACAGATGAGTCAGTGGGGATGGCTAGGGTGTTTGTGGAGACGGGTAATGGGGCACCCTAACAGTGTGTATTTGTATAGATTCTTCCATGCCCTGAGGCACAGGAGGCTGGTCAGGGGTGTTGCTGGCTTGGTGCATTTTTCTGAACTCTGCTCCTGCCAGGGCTGTTGGGAGTCTCAAGTGGCTTCCCTCTAATTTCCTGGGAACTGTGGAACTCTTGGAAGAAAGAAGCAGTGGACCGACCAACTCCACAAGAGTGGGAGATATTCTGAGATCTTTTAAACAGTTTCTTCTGTGGTCAGTGGTGATATGGATTTCTGTTGTTGTTAGATGCCAGTGAGTGGATACGGCCTCACAGAGACCGTGTGCACAACAGAACAAAACCACTGCCCAGTCCTGGCCCAACCTCACAATCGCTGCTATGTTTGAGCCCACTGCTGCTGCCACTGTGCCAATCCATCTAGTTGGGGGTCTTTCTCTTTTTGTCTGACCCTCCATTTTACCAAACATGATATCATTCTCCAGTGACTGGTCCCTCCTGAAAATATGTCCAAAATATGAAAGATAAAATCTGTCCATCCTGGCCTCCAAAGAGCACTCTGGCTGCACTTCTTCCAACACAGATCTATTGGTTCTTTTGGCAGCCCATGGTACTTTCAATATTCTCCTCTGAACTCAAATGCATCAGTTCTTCTACGATCTTCCTTATTCACCGTCCAACTTTCACATGCATATGACGTTATTGAAAATACCATGACTTGAGCCAGGCGCACCTTAATCCTCAAACCGACATCGTTGCTCTGGAAGACTTCAGAGAGGCCTCATGCAGCAGATATGCTGGATGCAGTTGGTTGATATCTTGACTGTTGCTTTCACGAGTGCTGATGGATGATCTGAGCAAAATGAAAGCCACTCTCCCGTGCTCGACAACGTCAGTCTTTTCTCCATTTATATGGATGTTGTTTCTTGGTTCAGTGGTGAGGCTGTCTACTTGATGAAAATTTTGTCATATGTGTTTTCTTAGCAGTAGTAATTTTGATTCTAGTTTTCCCGATACTTCAAGCAGCTGGTGGTAGCACTCATAATGACCTGCAGACTTTGTGGGTAGGGCTGGGGGCTGAGCCTCTGTGACCAGGTGGTGCCTCACCTGAGGATTTGCTGCTCGTCTGATTATTAGGCACCAGCTGTGTGCTGTTCCGTGTTGAGTGGTTTCGCTCTCCCAGGGGCTGTGTAAAGTGTGGGCTCTTGTCTCCACTCCAGACCAGGCACTTCTAGAGTTCCGCTATGACCCTCCCCAGTGGGTCTGACTGGGGTCTGCCAGGTGAGGCACAGGGATCTGGTGCCTCTGTATGGGGGTATGTATTAAGAAAGGTCCCTCAGGACACTTTAAAGTTGAAATGCTTGTGTTATTTGCAAAAGCTAAACACTTTAAAGGCTTTATAGTAACTTAGCATATGCTATGGCCCAGGACTGCCTGTCTTGGCCTCAGTGGGAGGCTTGGGAGCCAGTATTTCTCTGTCCATGGTGTCATGCCTCTTCACTCAAATGGTGACACGTTCAGCTGTTGTCACTGGAGTTTCAGATGACCTCATCTTTTTTCCCTTTCCCTTTTTTTGATTAGGGTACTTTTCCTCATGGAATCGATATTTTGACCACAGCTGACTATTTTGCTGTTGGAAATAGAGCCAACTGTTTCTTGGTTATAAGGTAAGTTTTTAATGTACATCTCAAAGTATGTGGATTATATTTTCTTTGATTTTGATGACAACAGGCATTCTCCACCATTTACCTTCTTCATCCTGCAAGGTCCCACGAGAGTAAATGTCACTTAGGGGTGAAAAAAAAGTGGGATGAGAGCAGGTGTTGGCACACCTGGTCCTTTCCGTTGATGGACGGGCCAGTGAGTCAGGCTGTCAGGCTGACTGTGAGCTGTTTGTCTTTTGGAGAGGCAGTGACAGGACCCAGGATGCTGACTTGGAATCAGCAAGGTTACCGTCATGTTCTATTCATGCTGTCTCTTGGACATGGTGTTTCACAGGGGAATTGCCACTAGCTGGACCTGCTTTCCTGCCACCTGACAGCTTGTCTCTGTCTGTCATCAGGCACTGGCCTCTCAGAGGGAGGCCCCAATTGGAAGTGACGGCTGTCTCTTCCCTTTCAGTAAAAAAGTGTCCCAAGGTGAAGTTATCGCTAGATTGTTTATGAAGATGAGCAAGAAAGGTCTTTGAGAAGTAGGTCAGGGACTAAATAATGAACACCCCTGCCTGCAGTTTGTGGAAGTCACGTCAGATCACTTTTCCTGAACTACCGTAAGGCCTGGGAAGATGACTTCACTTGTCTTAGTGAATCCTGTCTAGTACTAATTCCAATAGGTAGCAGGCATGATTTTATGAAGTGCTTTATGTGCTTTAAATTAGGAAAAGAAATCACACCCAGTGCATTCCCCCCCCACCATATTGGCCCTCAGGATTGATTCCCTAGAACAGATCACACAGAAATAACATTTCTTCAAAACCAGCATGAACAGGAATTTTTTAAAAACCTGGCCTTGGGCCTCTTTCCCAGAAAGAATCTTGGACCAGACATGCCATCAGTGTCTGTACTGTGTCCTTCGTGTTTCTCCTCAGTACTTAGGTGCTTAATCAGTTCTTAATAATATTTGCACATTTTTTCATGTGGAGAATCTGCCACTCCCCCCTGTTCCCCCCTGTCCCCCCCTGTCGTCCTCCAAGTTTGTAGGATAAAATAACTCACGATTTATTCTTTTCTTGAAGTTGCTTTGGTAGTTTGTGCCTTTCATGGAATTTGTCAGTTTTATCTGATTTTATTGGCATGAAACTTTTCATAATCTTCCTATATTCCTCTTTTTACATCTGCTTTTTCCTGATCCCATCTGGCTAGATGCATATCAATTTTAATTGATCTTTTCAAATAATCACCTTTTTATTCACTGATATTTCTGTTTCATGTCATTTTCTGCTCGCGTTATTATTTCTCTGCTGCTCTGGCTTCACTTTGCTCTTCCATTTTTTGTTTCTTAAGGTTGTTGTTGTTGTTGTTGTTAGGTGCCATTGAGTTGGTACCACCTCATAATAACCCTGTGCACAGCAGAATGAAACACTGCCTGGTCCTGGGCCAACCTACAATCATGGCTACGTTTGTGCCCATTGCTGCTGTCACTGTACCATTTCATCTCACTGGGGGTCTTCCTCTTTTTCTCCGACCCTCCACCCTACCAAACATGATATCCTTCTCCAATGACTGGTCCCTTCTGACAATATGTCCAAAGTATGAGAGATGAAGTCTGGTCATTCTGGCTTCCAAGGAGCACTCTGGCTGTACTCCTTCCCACACAGATCTGTTTGTCCTTTTGGAAGTCCATGGTATTTTCAATATTCTCCTCCAACACCATAACTCAAAAATGCATCAATTCTTCTGTGGTCTTCCTTACTCACCATCCAATTTTCGTATGCATATGAGGTTATTGAAAGTACCATGGTTTGGGTTAGGTGCACCTTACTACTAAAACTTACATCTTTGCTCTTCAGCATTTTAAAAAGGCCTTGTACAGCAGATGTGTCTAATGCAATACATCGTTTGATTTCTTACCTGTTGTTTCCATGAGTGTTGATAGTTGATCTGAGCAAAATGAAGTCTTTGACAACTTCTCCATATATATGGATGTTGTGTATTGGTCCATTGGTGAGGATTTTTGTTTTATTTACATTGAGAGGCAACCCATACCGAAGGCTGTGGTCTTTATTATATATGCTACCTCCTAAAATGGTTAAATGTCGACCAAACTGACTTCCAATCCCATGTCCACTCACATGTAGACCAACACAGTTGCCAGCTAGCTTACATGCCTGCTCTTGTGTTCCCTTTGTGTTTCAGTCTCAGAGGGGGTTTCTCCTGAAGAGACTGGATTACTTGCCTTGCTTGATGGCTCTCCAATGAACAGCTTGCTTGTTCTTATAATAGTCAAACAGACTGCCGGGTTTTTTGTTTTTTATTTTCCTGCTGGTCTTTCTTTCAGGACGCATCTTCTGTTCCTCTAGCCACTCCTGGCTGGTCTGCATGTCCTTTCAAGTGGGAATGTCCCACCTCAGAAGGTTCTGGATGGAGCTCAGGATTCCACCTAAGGTCCTATACACTACCAAGGCTCTGCAAGAAGCCTGTTTCACTAGGCAAATTCTACAACCCCTTTTAGGTATTCCAATCAGTTATAGACTGAAGACGGGCTTACAAGCTTTCTGTCATCATATTTCCTGGTCTTCCTTTCTATCCCCACTCAAGTGTCTATTTTACAATAGTAGGCAAGGGAAACCATACCCATTAGAGAGTCAAGCATCTTAACATGATTTCCCCTCTTTTACCCATTCAGACTATGCCTCGATCCCTGTATCACGGCGCCCTGTTGTTCTAAGGCTGAATATACATCAATATTTACATCTGTCCCAGTTAACCCATTCAAACCTGCCTAAATGTTCCCTTATCTACCTTGTTCTTCCATCTCCCTTCCCCTTCCTTATATATTGCCCTCCGCACCACCTGAGCTATGCTGTGCCTATCCCCTACCCTGTGCCCCACTGTCCCCTCCTTCCCACCCCTGGTAACCAACGAAGATTTTTTTTTCTTTGAGTATGGGTATCTTTTCTGGATAGCCATACTAAAAGAAGAGAGTTCTGGTAGCGTAGTGCTTATGAGTTGGCTTGCTGATCTTGTGGTCAGCAGTTTGAAACTACCAATTTTCTGCGGGAGAAAGATGAGGCTTTCTGCTCCCGTAAAGATTCACAGCCCGACCCCACGGCACACCACCACCACCACCACCACCACCATCTTTTCTTAAGCTTTTACAATCATGGTCCTATGCAATATTTGACCTTTTGTGACTGACTAGTTTCACTCAGCATAATGTCCCCAAGGTTCATCCATGTTATGCGATGCCTTGTAGCTTCCTTGTTATTCATCACAGTAGCCTAATATTCCATTGTGTGTATGGACCACAGTTTGTTTATCCATTGTTCCATTGATGGCACTTAGGCTGCCTCCGTCTTTTTGCTATTATAAGTGTGCTGCTATGAACAGTGGTGTGCATAGATCTACTCGTGTTATGGCTCATATTTCTGGTGGATCTATACCAAGTAGTGGAATTGCCGGTTCATAAGGTATACACTTCGGACATATTGTCAGAAGGGACCAGTCGCTGGAGAAGGATATCATGTTTGGTAAGGTGGAGGGCCAGAGAAAAAGAGGAAGACCCCCAACGAGATGGATTGGCCAAGTGGCAGCATCAGTGGACTCAAGCGTGCCAATAGTACTGAGATTGGCCCCGAATCGGGCAGTGTTTCGTTTTGCTGTGCATAAGGTTGCTATGGGTCAGTACCGACTTGATGGCACCTAACAACAACAAAGGTATTTCTATTTCTAACTTTTTGAGAAAGCGCCATACTGTTTTTCAGAGTGGTTGGACCATTTTGCATTCCCACCAACAATGTAGTAGGGTCCCAGTCTCTCCACATCCTCACCAGCATTTAGAGTCCTCTG